GGCACTGGTCATCCCTTAGGACCCAGGCAGTAAAACAGGAAAGGGACTTTGGGTGCCAAAGAAGGAAGTGGCTCCCACCTGCGACTGCCCAAACTGCTGAAAAATGACATGGAGGAAAGGAACAAAGTTGGGAGCTGAGGCAGGACGATGAAGCCTGAGAAAGAAGTGTTCTTACGGGGCATAGGATGGCTTACAGGTGCATGTGTGCATGTGTGTGTGCATGTGTGTGTGTGCGTGTGTGCATGCGTGTGCATGTTTGATATCCAGAGGACAGAAAAAGAGAAAGGACTGGTGTTTTCCATCCCTCTCTGCCTCAGGGACTGGACAGTCAGCATTACATAAATCTTGGTACTCCTCAACTGGGATTAAAAGCACAGATTTCACAGCTGACAAGTCCGGAGTTCTTGCTGGAGTTACCTAGCCTCTCTGTGGCATGGTTTATTTTAACCCCTCTCTAGTGGCGTTGTTGTGGAGAGTGAGTGATTGGCCCCATGTAAGTTAAGTGCTAGCTAACCATGCTAACTATGGTTAAAGCACGGTTAATGGTTAACTTGCTAAAGAAAGGGGTGCAAAGAGAAAACATAAAACAAGTTTACTTCTTTTCCCCAAATCAAAAGGGGCGGGGAAAATGCCCCATGAAGAGGGAATTCTGAGGGTCAGGGTCCCTGCTCTGTTCCCAATTCTGTCCTGACTCACTGTAGGACCTTGAGCAGGTCCCTTCACCTCCCAGGGCCTCTGTACCCTTTCCAGGGGAGGGCTTGGATTATAGTGTAGGGTTCCACCAGCTTCCCTGCTTTGTCATCTGTGCTCTTCATGATCCAGGGCCTGCCTCAAGCCACACCCAGCAAGGGCCCCTGGAGACAGGCCATGACCACTGTTCGTAGGCTTAGATGACCTCAGAGCCCCAGGCACTGGGTAAAAGGCCCAGCTGCATCCATAAAAGAAACCCTGAGACAGCGACAATGTACTTATTTATAACTATCAAAGTTCGGCAGGTCCTGGCTTCTCAGCTTTCCACATGCTGGACACCCAGAGCAACTATTCCAGTATTTTAAAAATCTTTAGAGATTTCCTGAGAAAGGGCAATTGAATTTTGCTATGTTCAAATTCACAGGTGTTGTCTTAACCTCTTCTCCACAGCTTCTGTCCATGTGAAACCCTTCCATTACTTTAGGCTGTTAATATTTATTAAAGCCAGGCTATTTGCTAGCAAATCCCAAATGTCTATTTTCACCCCAAACCTCTCTTTCAAATGTTAGACTCCTAGATGCAACTGCCTACGTGACATCTCCACTTGAGTGTTCTAGCAGACATCTCAAACTCGCCAGGTCCAAAACTAAGTACCTGACTTTCCATCCCCGTCACCCCACTGTTCTCATCGTCACCTAAAGCTCTCTCCATCTCAGTCAGTGGCAACTCTGTCCTTCCAGTTGATGATGCCAAAACCCTAGGAGTCACCCCCAATTCTTCCCTTTTTTTCAAACCCCACATCCAATCCCTCAGGAAATCTTGGTAGTTCTACCTTAAGAATACATCCAGGATCAGACCGCTTCTTCCAAGCCCCATTGCTGTCCCTGGAACAAGCCACAATCAACTTCACCTGGATGCCTGCAGTAGCCTCATGATAACTTTCCATGTTTCTCTCTTGTCTGGGCTCAGATTATAGGCAGATCATGGCAGCCTACTCACACCATCCCATAGCTCTGCCTTTTACTGAGAGGAATAGCTGAAGTCCTTAAGAAGCCAGCCTGCCTTGCATCTTCTGACTCTTTTTCCCTCTCTTGCCTCATCTCCTGCTATTTTGTCCCTGGCCCACACCACTTCTGCCACACTGGTCTAGTCCATGTTGGTCAAACATGCAAGGTGTACTCCCACCTTAGGATATTGGCCTCAGCAGGTCCTTCTGCCTGTAATGCTCTTACCTGGGATGCCCTAACTCCCTGTCTTCCTCCAAATCTTTGTTCACATTTTACGTTCTCAATTCTGCAGTCGGACTTTCTCCTGCCCACGCTTCACTCCCAATTCTGCCTTTATGGACATGCTTTTTTTCCCTGTGTTTCCATAATCACTATCTAATTTACTTTGTTTTCTTTATTGCACATCTTCTGCTTCTAGAAAGGAAGCTCCTAAAAAAGGGTAGGCATTTTTATCTCTTTCCTGGTGAATTCATTTTAAGCACCAAGAACAGTCCATGCCTACCACATAATAGGTGCTCAATAAGTACTTGTGAATACTTAGTTATTATCTCTCAGTTTCAGTAAGTCAGGAGTCCAGGCATGGCTTAGCTGAATCCCCTACTCAAGAGTCTCTCAAAGCTGAAATCAAGATGTCAGTGGGGTTACAACCTTATCTGAGGCCAATTCCAAGATTGGTTCCAAGATTGGCTTTCAAGATGGGCTGTTGTCAGAATTCAGATCCCTGCAATTGTAGGATTGAGATCCTCAGTTCTAAGGGGCTGCCTGTTGTTCCCAGCCACATGACCCTCTTCACAACCTGAAAGTTTGCTTCTTCATATCCACAAAAGAGCATCTCTCTGGCTTCAAATTGACCCTTAAGGTCAAGGACCTTTTTCTAACGGGTTCGTCTGATGAGGTCAATCTCAAGGACGGGCTCCCTTTTGATTAACTCAAAATCAACTGATTAAAGAACTTAATTGTATCTGCAAAGTCCCTTTACCTTTGCCATATAAGGTAACTTACTCATGGGAATGACTTTCCCATAACATTTACAAGTTCTACCCACACTCAAGGGGATGGGATTATGTAGGATATGTACTCCAGGGGTGGGAACCTTTGAAGCCTTCTTAGAATTCTGCCTACTACAATATTTTAAATGATCTTAAGAACATAGCAAGCTTTACCTTTTTTAAATGTCCAATCCATTGATTTAAAATTAATCCTGCGTATCTATAGAAAGAGTCTACCTATCAACTTCTTTTATTTTTGCACATCTCCCTTCACTATGTCATATTCAGCTTCGTTATTAGTATAAATAGTCCTGTGTTGCACCTGCATAGCATTTATCAGAGCAGTTCAATAAAAATAATACTAAAGGTCAACAACAATTCATGTGAAAGAAATGGAAGAGAAACACCCAAGGACAATGCCAGAGTTATCTATTAGTGTCAGTCCCCCTTCTGTTCTTAGTCCTGCTGGAAATCCCTAAAGCAACTCAAAGGCAACTGAGAAGATGAAGGAAACACAAGGTCCTGAGCAAACCCACCAGCTGGATCATGACTCCAGAAAAATCTAAGGATGTCTTAGCAGCAGCAGAGAGTGTGTTTAAGCATCTCAGCCTAGCTCAGTAAACATTAGATAAAAGGGTGGCTGATCCTATTGACCTCTACAATATTTTTCCTGCTTTGTAACATAACAGATTTTATGCATTTCCTACCAGTTATTATTTAGATGTTTATTGGATTTGTCAGATATCAGAAATTTATTTTTCCAACCTCCTGTATGTCTTACTAAACTCGCTCATAGTTGTAAGGATTGTCGGTGATAGAGAATAACATGGTGTCTCTGGGCCGAGACACTTGCTTCTCAAAGTGTAGGCCAGGACCAGCACCTAGGAGCTTGCCAGACGTGCAGAACCTTAGGCTGCTCCAGAACCATCTACTTAATTAGAATCTGCATTTTAAAAAGATTCCTCAGGTCATCGTACGCACATGTTTGAGAAGAGCCAGTCGCCTCCCCCAAACAGGGCCACAAAGGTGCTTGGGTGTAGGTTCCAGGGTTTGGTCTTGGCTTGGGGGACAGAGGCACTGAGTGGGGGACCCAGAGAATATTAGATTTCCAAAGACTAACTGCTCGTGTTGCCAAATGCACAAGACCCTGAGGGTAGAGCTGACCATTAGCTCAATCCTTCAAATGAGAGGCTTGCCAAACAAACTGCTATTCTGTGGTCAGCACACATACCCTTTCCCTGGAGGTGAGCCGACACTGGAAGAAGTCACATTATTGTCTATAGATTAACTATGAAGTTCAGAGCCAGGGGGGCCAGTTTAAAGATTTTAATGGCTAGAGTCCCAGTGGCCTTAAGCATTGTTCCCTTCCCCTCTCTCCACTCCCCACAGAGAGGGGTGTACCAGAAGCTTCGTGTTTAGGAATTAGAGCCCAGTTTGTCAGGAGGGTGATGAGGACAGGCAATGGGTCCTTGTGGCCCCCTTTCCCTACTTATCATGTCGCCCCTGCCACCTTGGTTAGTGCGTTCTTTCCTAAATGCACTGATGCCATTGAATCGCATGCAATTTTCTTTAACATTAGAATTTCGAGCCCTACTTTTTAGAATTACTTAGCATACTCTTCACTTAATACCATTCAATATATGTTAGTTTCACTGATTCAGTCCTCCGGAAGTGACCTCACTCCAAAGCTGCTGGAGGGAGGGCTTCTTCACTGTCTGTCCATCTACTGACTGCCCAAGTATATACATTTTAGGTTTGGTTGAAATTCTTTTTGTGTGACAGTTTTTCTTTAGGCTATTTGCCGACTATGAGATAGATCCACCCCGGCTTGACTACACACAGATGCTGCTCTGTTTCGCTTGCCACCCGGACCCTGTGGAGGGCGTCTACAGGGCCTTCAGTGTGGCCACTGGGACTCATATCTTCCAACCAATTGAAGCTCCTACTCTTACTGCAGAAGAGGTAATTGTGTTCCAGAAATGGACTAGCACTGGGGTCTGGAGGGGAAGGCCAGAAAAGCCTAAACTTCTAACAACAGAATCTCTGTTCTTTTTGTCTCCATGTTTTCCTGGGTACCTAACTATGTTCTGTATATATTAGGTCTTCAATAAAACCTTACTCAATTAGATTAAGAACTGGGGAACTGCTATCAAAAAAATGCTTTTATAATAAAATCAAAATTTGCTCAAATTTTCTTGATGGCATCAAAGTTTGCTCTGTAACGGGCAGACTTTATTTTCCATGAAGTGCTAAGTGCTGACCCTGATAAATGAGAAAGGACTGGGTATCCACCCAAGGTATTTGTCACACTTGGTGGAAATTCTGAATAATACAAGTTCAGGCCTCAGACACATCCCACATATATGTGACACTGATAGTGTTTCAGGCCAAATCCCAGTCACTGAAAGCCACAGCCACTTTGTGTCACCTACATCCAAGAACAAAGAAGCTTAATGAATATCTAATAAAACCTCCCATTCCCCTTAGATTTACTTCTAAGGGGTTAGCATTCCCTGGCCTTTTTAGGTGGAAAAGCCTCAGAACAGGGTACTAGCTGATACACTTATGAGGTGCCCGTTAGCATGACTTCTTAGTCTTGCCCTGACCTTTTGGAGACGAGGCTGTGGCCCTCATGATGGAATGCCTTTTTCTGTTCTTCCTTCGTGGACTCAGAGAGCAGAAGGATGCTGTCAGTCCAAACTCCGCGGACCTCCTAGCCACACTTTTTTTCTTTTCACATGTTTGTCAAAATAGAGTATGCTGGGTTCTCTCAGGGAAAGAAATAGGGAGGTCCTGTGACAGCTTTCACATCTGGGAAGAAATGGACTTTTAGACACAACCCTACATTTTGGCCCTGAGCAGGTGAACACGAGGATGTCCTCCTCCTTACATCAGGGCCAGAGTGACACCAGGCAGATGCCTAGTAGGCTGACAACTCGGGGCTCTTCAACCCGATGTGTTATAGACACCGTTTCAGCAGTGACAGAAAGTTCAGCAAGGCGTGCTTATTTCCATTCAAGAATGCGGTCTTCTTAGACAGTGGAAGGCCAACTTCAATTTTCCCAGACAAATAAGGAGTTGGCATGGTGTGCCTTCCCTGGGACTGCATTTGCCACTTTCCCAGGGATGTTACTGCACCTCCACCTGCACCACCATCACCACCACCCTATAGGCTGGGCCTCTATAACAAAGCTCTGGCGTGGATTATAGCCTGCCATGAGGTCTCAATCAAATGTCTGTCCTCCGTAAGACCTTCCCCGACCTGGGATGGTGTCGGGACTCCCTGCTTTGTGTGCCCATAGCTTGCTGTGCTCGCCCCTTCACAATGCTCCTCATAGGTTACTTCTTCAAGGTCAGCTTCCTTTCTGAGCTCTGAGAACCCTGTGGGCAGGGAAGGGCCACCTGTCTTGTTCTGCCTTCCTGAACCTGCCACACCCCTGAACCTGAATTACTGGCACAGAGCTCAGTACATAGATATTTCATTGAGTAGTGTAATCAATCAATTAATTAATTAGCTTTGCAAATCAGACTCTCTGCAGAGCTCTGCAAGGGATACAGAAACCAAATTTGCTTCCCTGAAGGGACTCCATCTAATTTCCCCTGTCCATGCAGAAAAAAATGACACGGTGGTATCCCAGACATGGAAGGAACACAGAAGAAAGGGGATACTTACATGGGGCCTTACCATTCAAAAGAGGGTTTATGCCTTCTTTTCTCCCACCTCCCTATCTTGGCTGTTGCTATTTCCTCCATCTGCAGAACCCCTCATCTTATCTCAAAGGGTCTGAGGCCTCCCCAATATCCCAGGCCTATTGAGCTGCCAGATCATTCATGAAGCTTCCTCTGACACCCAAGAGCAGCACTGAGCACTCTCTCAGCTTTGCCCCCTTTATGTTCAGATCCTCTCTGGCAAGGCTGAGCACCATTGCATGCATGTATGCATTAATTCAACAAATGTTTGTCCAGCACCTCCGTGTGCTGGGAACAACCCTTGACCTGGGGATAAAATAGGTAAAATATAGACTACATCAGATGGTAATAAGTGCTATCTGAAAAAAGAATGTAGCGAGTCTCCAAGGTAGAGTGGAGGACAGCAGACATTTCAGGCAGAGGCAATAACAGGATCCAGGAGGCTACAATGAGCCAGAAAAACCAGGGAAGAGGAAGCATGTGCTAGAACTGTTGCCACAGCAACAGACAGCTGCCTCCGTGGGTAGCAGCCGAGACAGCTATCGCAGGGCCCTTCATCCCTCCTGTCCCTGAATCACTCATTCAGAGTAAGCTAGTGCCCCCACCCAGGAAGCAGCTCCCCACGACTGCTTCTTTCAAGAGCTCTTAAAGGCCAAGGACACTTCACCAGAACTGATCCACAAACACTGCACAACAGAGTGAAACCAGGGTGAGGGGCAGGTGATGGAAAGCATGTGTCACATACCATGTGCATAGGCCTGTTGCTGGCTTGGAGGGAACCCTGGGAGCTTTGACACCCCGGATCCACCCACCTCACCCTTTGTCCTGCCATCCTGCCTCCAATTATGCCACTCTGTTTCTGTGCCCTTTTCCAACTGTGTTCTAGTTTCCTGGGCAACTTCATCCCAGGAAGCCATAATGAGCCTGCTCAGAAATAAACACCTCCAAAAGCTGCATATTCACTCCCAAGACACGGAATCAGATCTCTGCTTTTGCTTTCTGCATAAACAACTGGAAATCTCCCTGCTATTTTGTTGTTTCTTACTCTATTTCTGAGACTCATGCTGTTCTCCTCAGTGTGGTGCAGACCTGTTTAAATCCACTTCTTGGGTAATTTAAAAAATGTTCAAGAGCAAAGCATTCATGAGTATGCACTAGACCCAGTGAAACTTTAAATAAGTTGACATTTGGGGAAACAGTTCATTCTGGCCTGTGTGGTGTGGTATGATGTTAGAATTCAGTACGTTGTGAGCTTGAATCTCTCACATTTGGAAAGTCTTGCTGAAGTATCTTGGCAGAGCATTTTGAGGTCCTGGAGTTTGAAAGCCTTGAATTTTCATCCCATTTTGTTCTTTGACACTTTGTCCACATTAGTCCCGTTCCCGACCTGTTCTGCCTCCTAGATGTGGGACTGACCTGATTCAATGTAGAAATGCATGGTCAGGCACCATTCAGGGGACAATTTGTTGGGAGCCCTTGAGGGCTGCCTCTGAGAGTTAGCTGAGCGTAACCTAATGTTTGCCAGTGTCACACTCTGTACCACTGCTTAGTGGATGATGTGACTCACACAGTTTTGATGTCACTCATAATTGCTCATTCAGAAGCACTGGCTTTTCTGCAAACTTTCTGCAAACTGTCATCCCTGGTTTCGATCACGCACCTACATTCTAAATCATGGTCTTTCCACGAAGTCTGTTGGAGAGAGTCCCCTTCTACTGCACACCCTGCAGCCCCGCCAGGATGCTAAGCAGGCTCCTTCAGTCCCAGTTCCAGCCTTGCTCCCTCTCTCCCCTCCCACTGAACCACTAATTCTATTCTGTCCCAACCCCCTAGAGAGCAAAAGTTTAAAAAGCATCCTGTGACATGAATTAGTTAAGGATTCTTCAGTAAGATTTCAAATGTTTAAATTGTTACCTTTTAGCTAAACTTTAAAAATACATTTATCCGATGATGATTATGTCAGGCCTTTGACAAGTTAGTCCCTCTCTAATGATGGAAATAGCGCAGAGAGACCAGGTTCCTTCTCTCTTTAATTTTGGTACTGCCTGCTTATCTAACCTGACTAGTCATTTGTTCACCCGCAGGTTCTGTCTTTATCGTGTTCTCACAGCACATATGCTACACTCTGAATATAAATTCATTCATTCTCCACTCACTCAGCACACTGTTTTACATCTCTACCATGTTCATTTCTCCATACTAAATGTTCTATTGCCCTGGGAAATTATTGATGGGTAGCCAATGTGATGATCCCCAAGCTTCCTAGGTAGAGAAAAAAAAGCTAGTCTCACATTTCTGCCATGTAGTGTTTCAATTGTTTAAAATGGAGAAGAGGCTAGATGGATAGATGGCTGGATAGATAGATAGATAGATAGATAGATAGATAGATAGATATAGACATATAGAGATATTCATACTTAATTCCAAAATATTTACCTAATAGAGCATTTTCTCTTCTTCTTCTCTCTTTCTTTCTCTCTCTCTCAAACACACACACACACACACACACACACACACACACATACACACACACACCTCTTTAAGGTTAGATTAAATTCCCAATTTACCAAAGGATATAGAAGCCCAACCCTCACAAAGCTAGAGGAAATGCCACCTGTCTTTATTACACTGCCTGCAGCCCCTACAAATTCCTTATAGAGACTTATGACTATTAGAGGCTTAATTTTGTGCTCCATCTTAACCTTATTAACATGGGACTTACATGACTATTTGGAAAGAACTTGCATGATCTATGTACTTAATGCCTCTCCTGAATTAAATATGTACAGACGTTGGCACCCTACTTTTTAAAAAAAGCCTAAATTAGTATTTTTCCTTCCTTGGGGGTAAAAGAGAATCAACACTCAGGTGTTCTGTGACATTGGGACAGTCAACATTCTGAAGATGCTCATTTTTCTATGGCAGATCACCAAACATCAGTGACCTCATCATCAGAAACACTCATTCACACACACTTATTACAATACAATAAATAAATGCAAATCTACTGTAGAGAATTTGGGAAATACAAAACAAAGTAAAAAAGAAATCACCTATTTTACTAACGAGGTAACCGCTGTTAACTCTTTAGTGTATCTGGGTTTTTTTTCACTAACAAGTATAGATATATAAGAAAATGAGGATCCTTGTTTATTACTTTGTGTTGTTTTCTTTTTGTACTTATCCTATTAGTGGTTTTTCATGTATTCTTTTTTTTTTTTAAGATTTTTGTTGGGGAATTGGGGGATGGGAATAGTGCTGGGGAATTGGGGAAAGGGGAACAGACAAGTTGCTGTCGTTTTGTTCTTCAGTCTAGTTGTGGAGGACGTTGCTTCACTGGCCCAAGTTGGCACCATCATTGCACTCTTCCCGGGAGAGGCAGATCAGTTGCCAGCTTCTGGATGGCCACTCACTGCGGCTGCTGGCCGCTCACACTGGCTGCTGGCTACACATGGTAGCCCATGGCAACCCACTGCAGCAGGGGTTGCAGCCTACACCGTCGCCGGTGACTCATGGCAGCCCAGCTCCAAGTTGAGCTGTTGTTTAGCATCTTAGCTGTAGAGGGCATTGTCACTCGCCCTCATATGTGGGATCCGAACTGGGGCCCTCTGGTGTCCCAAGACAGCTCTTAACCATTGCGCCACTCGGCCGGCCCTTTCATGTATTATTTTAAACCAAAAAATTAATGGCAACATAGTATTCTATAACAGAAATATACTATAATTTATGTCACTGTTCCCCCATTTTTAGAATCGTAGGTTTTCCACATTTTCTGTAAGTAATACTGAATGAACATTTACATACAAAAGTTTTTGTGCAAATGAATATTTCTTTAGAATCAATTCCTAGATCTATAGTTACTGAGTCAAAGTGTAGGAATATTTCTCAGGCTTTTGAGACATAAGAACTGACTTCAGAAACAATGTACTCATTACCATACTCAAAATGTCAGCGCCTGAATTAATGACTCTTGGCAACTTTCAAAGAGCGGTAGTAAGAATCCCAACCCAACATTTCTATATTCAATTTGTTTTCTATTTTCCCTTCTGAACATTGAGTCAGGTTTAACCTCCTATATCCAAACAAATGTTACCAAAGCACTTAGAATCTATTGTACACCTGAAACCTATGTAACTTTACTAACCATTGTCACCCCAATAAACTTTAATTAACAACAACAACAAAAAAGAATCTATCAAGCTTAAGAAACGAACTTGCCATAACCTCTTGTCTAAAGTCAACTTCTAAAGCAAATCTTGTTAAAAATTTACATCAATATGAAGAAATCTGACACCAGCTACACGAATTCTTTCCAGGGTCCTTTTACTGAGGAATACAATGTGTCTGACAGTAAGCCAAAGCATGTATAGAGATGAGTATGACACACCCCACACTAAGGGCTCTTTGTAAACTACCAACGGAATTGGTCTAGGATTTTGATGTGAATTCCAGTTCAGCAAGAATAGTCTTTACTAGACTTCGCTTAGCTAGTCTGTGGTAGGCACCATCATTCCACTGCATAAAAAGTGTGTGACAAAATTTGTGTTTTTTAAATGTCTCTATTACTGGGAAGACTTCAGTCTGACTTTCTATTCTTTTCATTTAATTGTGCAGACCTACTCCTTTATCAATATGAGTCCTATTGAGGAATATCCTGAACTTGAGGAACATTTTGTAAGCGAGGAAAGGGAATTAAGAGAAGAAAAGGTGGAAAAGGAAGAAGAAATTCCTAAAAATGCCAACACTGAAAAGATTGCCATGGAAACACTGTTCAAAGTGTTCCGAGGAGGAAACGAAGCACAGGACACTAACCGATTTGCCAGCCACCTAAAGATAGAGAACATTTATTCAGAGGTTGGTTAGATTATTTCATAAAAAGGGCAGCCTATACATAAGAAAAGTTGCCCCCAATTTTGAGCATATTTTCATCAAATTTCTTTATTAAGTAAAACCATTTTTTAACATCTGCAGGATTGTAAAGTTAATTAACTTCATGTTTTTTTCTCCTTTAAAGGACTTCACAAAAGTATTTCAGGACCTGGGTGCCAAGAACCTGGAGCCAGTTGAAGTTGCTGTTCTTTTGAAGCATCCTTTTATTCAAGACCTGATTTCAAGCTATCCAGACTACAAAATTCCTGTGAGTATTACCCAAAGGCATCCTAATTTGGCTAAACTCAGATTCAGAGCATGGTGGGACATTTCAAGTGTGGACTAGCAGAAAGGGGATGAAAGCTGGACTTAGTCAGAACAGGGTCTGGGGAAGCTAAGCTGGTAATAGCATCAGGCCAGACAGGCCAGTTCAAAACACCCAAGAGCAGCAAGGTCAGGGACACTAGCAATAGCTATCAGTACTAGGAATAGCACTCTCAGTACTATGGATAGTACCAGAAACACTAAGAATAGTACTCTCAATACTAAGGATAGTACTAGAAACATTAGGGATAGAACTCTCAGTACTATGGAGCTGCCTCATCAGGACTATGGGGCTACATTGGATCTACCACAGAAGGCTGGAGGTAGATGATAGTTAAAGCCAGGTGGATAGTAGTAATAGTGTTTTGGATCTTTCCAGCCAATATCCCTAGCCTATGATCAAAGAGTATGGAGAATAAGATCTCCCTTTGCCAAAGAGAACGAAGGAGACCATGACCCCCAGCCAAGAGCTGACGCCATCATGGCTCACATTGCCAATGCAGTGTGTGTGCTGTCGGTGCCTAGGAAAGATTGGGTGCCAGTCCATCAAGGAAACGGGGTTCAAGATGGGGAAACTGGAGACAAAACCCACAGAGAGGGAGAACCCAGCAGAGGGAGAAAGGGTGAAAAGAAGAGCTGCACCTCTGAGCTCACACAGTAACCAAGCACGTTTCAACCCCACCTGTTGCATGTGCCTCCACCACGGCAAGTCCCAGGTCTCCACCAGCAAGGGCCAAGGGAGGCAGAGGCTGACCCCTCTCAGGGCGGGCAAGTTGCTCTAAGCCTCTTACACACAAGTTCAACAGCATGAAGTCCCCCTGTGTGGCTCCTGCTGGTTGTTTATTGCACTAAAAAGTGTTTGCTGAGCTTAAGTTAAAAGCACTTTCATTCTAGTAAAATACAGGTGGGTGTAAAATACATTAATCCTGACTTCTCAGTGGTAACTGTCTATGCCCAGAAATGAGACTATCCAGACTTAAATATCTTTTTACCTAGATTTGTTTCCTCTAAATTGCTGATCCTTTTTGAATATGAATACCCAGCCTTGACTTTCTCTTGATCCTGGCTTTCTCTTGATCCTGGCTTTCTCATCTGTTAAATGGAGATAACAGCCATTTCTATTTAAAGGATTACGGTGAGGATTAAATGAGATTGTGCATCTAAAACACTTGACATGGTCTCTGACACATGGCAAGTACTACAGAAATGATGGCTGTTAGGATTACTATTCAATACCGAACACTTACTACTGAGGCCAGTAATATAAGGATCCATGGGAGACAGAATAATGAGTACAAAACTCAGTTGCTGCTCTCAAGCGACCCACTTCTGTTTCCAAGAAAATTTTTACATGCAGGAATTACAAGGAAATGATATAAGGTAAACCACTCAAATGCAATATTATGGGAATTCAAAAAATAGAACTTGTGTGTGTGTAGGGGAAGGGGGCATGGAGGTTGGGGGGGGAGGTAGAAGCTGAGTCTTTAAAGATGTCCAGGGTTTTGGAAAGTGGAGGGAGACTCGAGGATGTCTCCATGGATTTTGCTGTTGGATGGAAAGGAGGCAGCATCCTAGCTGAGAAGAGAGGCCTGGGCGAGGGTGTGGAGGCAGGACTGCATGGGAGCAGCTGGAGCCTGACCAGTTGAAGAGCAGTCTGTGGAGGGTTTAGTGACCCCATCAGATGGGTAAGATCAGGCCAGATTGTAAAGAACCCAGATGAACATCACACAGGGAAATTTGGATTTGATTTGAAAAGCAATGGAGAATGAATGGGCTCTTGAGCAGGGACATGAAATGGCATTAATGTCTTCATCCCTAAGTGTTTCTTTGTCTCTTAGCCATATCATGTAATTATGTCCCTGCATTTAACAGGGGTCTCATTTTAAAATTATTTGTGTCTATTTAAATAGGTATGAATTATTTGGAAACACGGTTGGCAGTTATTCCAAGCTCTTGTATTCATACATTCCACAAACACTTAATGTTTGCATTGAAACTAGTATGTTACCTGTCTCTTTTCAGCATTGTATATTTCATACTTTCATTAATAAAGACCAACTGTTTTCCCCACTTGGAATGAGGAGGGCATAAGTCATGTCAACCCTAGAATTACTGGTGACAGAGCACATCAGAACTAGACAAAGGGGTTGAGAGAGGCAGGTGAGTCAGTGTCACATGCAGGATGGGGGAGAGTCGCCAAGTGTGGGGATCTGCCCCCCGATTTCTTTCCTCTTGGCAAACGTCATTCTGTATAAGGCAGGTTCCAGAGGCCCATCACTTTAGACTGCATTTCATCCTACACATTCTGTTCCACGTTTCAGGAAACAGTCCTCTTATTTTTGAACCACTAAAATAATTTTCAGAATCCCTTGGAATTATAGATAATAGTATTTATCTTGTATTGACAAGAACAAGTAGGTGCATAAAATGATACCACAATTATTTCCTCCCCTAATGGGAGAAAAACTGCCTACATAGTCAGCACAATTTGGGATCATCCTTACTCTGGCCAGTTAAATATGATGAACTTGCAGAGACGATTCTACTGGTCCTTTTCCTGAGAAAAGAAAACAACCAACAGATGACTGCCTTTGAGAGCCAGCCTCCTGAAAAGGTGTTCCAACTCCCCAGGAAATCTCTTTTTAATTTGAGCACTTTCCTCATTTTGGAAGGACTTTCATCAACTTGCAGGGCATTTCAACTGAAGTCCTACTGTCATTTGAGACAGCACCTCTTTGTGCAGGACTGTCTCCAGTGTGGCAGGACAGCTAACATTTTGGGCTCTACCTACTGTATTCCAAGAGCACCTTGATATATTGACCACCAAAACTACCTCTGCACATTTCCCAATCCTCCTTGGTGCTCAGGACTCCTTTGGCTGAGAGCCATCCAGCTGGAGGATGTAGGACCTCCAGTGAACCAGCTTCACAGGACCAAGGTGGCCCGACACTCTACAAGCAGAAAAGGAGTTAGTCTGTCTGCCAGCTAATCATCCTGTTCTGTGTCGATCCTGCATTCCCAGAGTGCTTCTGCACAGTCAGCTTCTTTAACTCATGCTCTCCTCATCCTTCACTTCTCATCCCTGCCCCTCCATGAAGGAATCTACTGAAAGGACAGTGGACCACTGTAATCGGGATTCATTCATATGATTGTGAATCAAGGAGAGTCGAGCCTACGACTTGAAAAGCCTTAATTCTGGTATTTCAAAATGAAAGAGGTTCCCTTTCCAGTAAGGTGCTCTATTCTCATTTTCACTAAGCAAAAAAGAAGAGAAAGGAGAAAGGAGAAAGGAGAAAGGGAAGGGAAGACAGAGAAAGAGAGAAAGAGAGGAGAGGGAGGGAGGGAGAGAGAGAGAGAGAGAGAGAGAGAGAGAGAGAG